CCCCAAAACCCCAAAACCCCAAAACCCCAAAACCCCAAAACCCCGGCTAGAGGGACCTGAGTTGACCTGATTTTTAATTTGGGCTAAACCATCCCGATGAAAACATGTCCATTTGCAAATTTTAGGTGACGAACCAGAAGTGAAAGAGTTTTAGAGAAACTTATACCCGAGTTGTGACTGATAGTATCTGAATGATAGGCAAAGAACATCCCATCAAACCCTTGCATAGAATCGACCAAATAATGCGGATCTTATTCAAAACCTTCAATCTCTCCATCTTCTTCCTCCTGCATTTTCTGTCTCTTTTCCTTCTCTTGTCTAAACTCAGCCAATTTCTCGTCTCTAAACTTTAATATTTTCTCTTTCAGCTCAGGCATCTCTTCTACATCTTCTAGCTTCAGTGGGGCTCTTGTGTAAGGATCAGTTGGATCGTTCATTAAGTGCATCTTGAGCTGAGACAGTTCAACAGTATTTCCCGATGGGAGTTTCACAGGATTCTCCATGAGCACACAGAAGAGTTCATCCATATATTCATCTGGGGCATCATCTAGGAAAGCTTCTTTCAATTGATTTTCCTCTAGTGATGCTTTTCATTTCTCTACGAAGTTCTGGAAATTAGCAGCAATGTCCATTGGGATCATGATTTTAGCTTTGTTCATTAAACTAATCGCTTTATTAAAGTTCCTCTCCTTATAACTTCTGGTATCTAAGACAACTCAGTCAATGAACTCTTGGTAGTTTCCCATGAAGGCATAGCAATAAATTAACTCTTGAGTAATAACCTTTGGCTCAAAGAAGTACTCTTTTGGATTATTTATCTTTATTGAGATACATCGAGTGGAAGCTATTTGATTATTTCATATATTTTTACAATTAAGGTTATTTGGAGTATCGAATATCCGATGGTTTGCCTCCATTGATCAAAGAGTCAAGAGTATAGTTCAGTCCTTGTACAAAGCTGTTAAGATTGACCTCTGACATAAATCCTTTCCTGCATTCCTCACGTTCAGCAATGGTGATACAGAGTCCGAGGGCTGACCTGGCCATGTTCATTCCCCACTTGGCAATACCACTAAAATACATTAAAAACTTGAAGGTTAGTTGAGATTACCTGTTTTCTTTAAATTGCTCTTCAAAATCCTTCTTCTGTTCCTCAGTGTAGCTTTCCCAGTTATTTTTAGCTTCCTCGTACTCTAAAAGTTACTCGTATTATTACCTCTGATGGAAGCCAGCTTGGAAATACTTGAAGTGAATCCATCATTAATGTCACTGATCAAGAAATGGGTGAACTTTTCAAATTTATCTGCCTTAGTCATACAGACCTCGACAAGTTGTTCCATGTAGTGCTTATCTTTGAAAATAAATTTGAGAACTTGGGTTATAAGTGCTCTGTAATGGTACTTCTCGTAGTACTGAGAGTTGGACCCAGTCTTTTCAACATCTCCATAAGCCTCTGTAATGATCTCCAGGAGATAATTTTTGCATAATTTGCTTTGTAGCAGAAGTCCTTTGAGGTTGAGCTCTTCCTTCCTAAACTCATAGGTAGGAGCTCTAGGTGCAAACTCACAGATAAATTTGAGCGTCTCCGCTCTAGTATGGGGGTTAGAGACTTTCTTTGTTCTTATAACATACAGACAGAATAACATTAGAGCGTCAAAATTTAATGCTTTCTCGAATGTTGAAGGCCTGAATACCCTATACATCATTCCTAGCTTGGATATGTTCTCACAGTAAAATTCTGGAATGTAGCAGAGCTCGTTCTGGAGATGATCATTGTCTTCTATTTTGACTCTCTCCGCAAACCATGTAAAGTCAACCTTCTCTTCTTCATCTCGTTCAGTTCTAGAAACAAAGCAGAAATAAAATCAGCTGAAGTCGAGGAATTGAAAGAGGCTGGATGTATACTTCTTAGCAAACAGATGAGTCTCCATGCCTCAAATTTGCTGGAAGGCAGGGCTGATAGCATTAGCATCCATTGTTCCAAAGGCTGATTGAAGCTGCTCTCCTGCTTGGTTGAACGTCTTAATAACTTTCTTGTAGCCTATCTTGATCAAAGTGTGGGTGATAAAGAAGCATTCTGTGACGAAATTGAACTCATGATCATCATCGACCTTTACTTCCTCAATTTGCTCAGAATTTATCTTATCTCAACTTCCGAGTTTGAGGTGCTTTTCTGTAGCACAATATAGAGGGTCTATTTTATCAAACATTGTCTGAAACTTATCCATTTTAGAGACAAATGGAGTAGACAGTTCTAAGAAAATAGCAATTGAGTTTAAAAACACTGATTTAGATGATAAAGAAGCAAACTGTGGCATCATTTTGAAGTAATCTGTGTTGAGGTTGATCAGCATCCTGAACCACTCTAGTGCTCTATTCTTGGTTGCTTTATTTTTTAATAATTTCTTCATAAACATAGTAAATCCATCATAAAAAGCGTAGAACTTCTCACTCATTGTATCTACCTGCTTTGACTTTAACCCAGGAGTCATTCTCATATTAAAATCAAAGTTTTTATTGGGATTCTCTGTGGGCCAAACAGTGATGCTAAGCATTCTTCCAAAGAAGGTTTCCATCTGAAGTCTCTTGCCTGTAAGGTTTCCATCGACTGGTATGAAATATTTATGGTTTATAAATTCCTCTATCAATTCATCATGGCTAAAATATTACTCGAATCTTACCTCCCGATCACATTGATGATGGAGAGTGCTTTAGTCAGAGTTTTTAGTTCATTAAGATTGTCAAGAAGGAGGAAGGACTTTCTGATAATCAAGTCAAATGCTTCATCTTTACACTCCTCCAGTACATTTGCCATGAACTCTTTGTCAGAAATCAGGAGGCCATCATTCACAACAACATCGAAAAACTCGTCTTCGATATTGGTAAATGTTTCTTCAAAAACAGCACCTCCTTGGGCTTGTGCCTGCATAAGCATTTGCATCATAGCCATCATCTGGGGATTATCGCCCATATTTGGTGGGATGTTTGGCAGAGCAGGAGCTGCAGCCTTAATTTGCTGTTTCTTCTCAGTAGTCTCTATCTCCAATGCTTCAGGGTTAGAATATAAGATGGCGAAATATGATCAAATATAATTGAGGACCTCTTCTATATCTACTTTATTAGCCAAGAGATGTCTCTTAGCAGAGGAATATGCATTATAGAGCATTCTGAATTTATTCTGGTTCTTTCTCTTAGTCACACAGTACAAAATTACAGTGATCATATCATCTGCAATAAAGGTGAGGCTCTGGCCCTCCATGGTTTTACTAATAGAGAGATCTTGCATGAAATCCTTGCCCATGGTTCTTTTAGTCAGACACACATTGAAGCTATCACAGATGATATTATGCATGTATGTTTCTATATCTTATCAATTTATCATACTCTTTGTAGCTTCTGGAGATTTCTTCTGCTTTACTTCCTGCTGTTTTTGCTGTTCCTCTTGTCTCTTCTTCTTGGCTTGCTCCTCTAACTTCCTTTGTCGCTCAAGCTCTGCCTTCTTTGTTTGATCTTCTTCTTGCTGTTTCTTATTTGCCTCAAATTCCTTTTTCTCTTGCTCTTTGAGTTTTTCCTCAGCCAATTTTCTTTTTTGTTCTGAATTTTTATTGGGATATCTTACCTTGTTCAGTCCTTTTCTTTCGGATTTCATCTGCTTTAGAAGCTTGACTGCCTAGTGTGCTTTTAGAAAGCCTCTCAAGCCTGAGCTGGCGTATTCTCTCCTTCTCTTCCTCTTCTTTACTCATCTTGGTATCCTTCTGTGGTGGGTTTGGCTTAGAAGGTTTGTCAACAAGCCCTCCAAGTGCCTATATTTCCCAAACCTCTAACTTACCGACAGGTCTACTGTAGACTTAAGCTTCTGTCTGCCTTGACCACTAGTATCTTCCTTCTCCTTGTGCTGTTCATCTTCGTTGTCATTATCTTTCAACTTATCGTATTGCTCCTTTGATTCACCTTGCCCCATATTTGTCAATAATTATCTTAACTTTAGGGGTTTTGGGGTTTTGGGGTTTTGGGGTTTTGGGGTTTTGGGG